CGGGTCGGGTACGGGTCGGGTTGCACATCTCTAGACTATAGTAAAGGCTTTCCTTCGATCGGTCTTTTATAACTCAGCACTAGCTGAAATCTTTGTCGACAAAACACAAACCGATTATATTTTCATTAGTAGCGATGTCACTTGAGCAAACAGTTCTTGACATTTTGCAGTTTTAAAATCCGGTTTGGTTCGGTGTCTATTGAGAAAAAACGATTGTTATCGAAGAGAAAAACAAGATTTCTCGCACATACTCGTTTTACAAACAATTAAACGTATTGTTGGAATTGTTCATTTAGGCACAATAGAAATAATCTAATATAAGATGTTCTCCAAAAAGGTAACTAAAACAGACATTAGAACTCATTGTTTTCGCTAGTACGAAACCGGATGAACTTTAAAACACAAGATATTAGGATTACCTTCACGTCGTATATTTATGTTTAATAGCTAAACATTTCGGAATATACGCTACCACTTCTTCAGTAGCAAATTGAAAATTAATTATACAGAAAACCTACATCTGAAACACGGTAAAGCTAAGCGATTACATTGAAAGTGAAGTACACAGTACACACATAGTACTATTTGCAGATATGGACTGCACAAAAAGGCAAGAGTAAATTATACGCAATAGAAAGAGAAATTTATTTGATTTTCTATTTTAATCTGTGTACTTTACTTCCAGTATAATCACTTATTTCTACCATGTTTCAGATGTAAGTTTTCTGTATAATTAATTTTCAATTTGCTACTGAAGAAGTGGTAGCGTATACTCCGAAACGTTTAGCTATTAAACATAAACATACGAAGTGAAAGTAATCCTAATATCTTGTGTTTTATAAAACAGACATCGAGAAAGAGAGAGAGGAAAAATTTACCCCAAACTCTTTTTCTCTTTTTCTTGTTGTCTAGTGGTGTGTTTGTGTAAAACATGAGAAATTTATTTCGTCTATAATCGGTTTTATTTATTTTTCATCTATAGTGTCCGAAAGTGGATGTACCGGTAATTCGTACGATGTTCTCTAAAAAGGTAACTAAAATAGATATCGAGAAAAAAGAGAGAGAGAGGAAAAACTACCCCAACTCTTTTTGTCTTTTTCCGTTGTCTAGTGATGTGTTTGTATAAAACATCAGAAATTTATTTCGTTATATAAATCGTTTTCATTTATTTTTAGACAGAATATTAAATATCGAAGAAGTACATCATTAAGTAATGGTGTACCGGTAATTCGTTCGAATAATTAAACATCAATTCGTGAAGTAAACTGCAGAGTAAATTTCAAAAACACTACACTCTAAAAAAAAATGCGACTTAGGATCAAATTAAGTCGCATATATGTGCCTTATTCTGTTATAATAAGAAAAATTAATGCGACTTAATTTGATCCTAAGTGGCATTTTTTTTTAGAGTGTACGAACTACTTTCCAACGATTGACGTTATGTGAGCTCGAATTCTGTTACTGTGTGCCATCTTTATTTTAGGACTTTGTAGCAGATTTGCATCAACACGTGTCTTTATTCATACGGAAGAGTTTTTTCAACTTTTTGACGCCTAGTTGAACTAATATTGAGTAGTTCAAGATTATCAGTGAATATAAAAGTGAAAAAAGAGAAGCTGACATATTCTAATTATAAGACTGTTGAATAGCAAAGAATAGCTACTTCGATGCTGAAATGCATTGTGGAATAATTTTCATCAATTCACTTGCAATCTTCTCGTTTCATTTCTAGAAAGCCCATTTCCTCGTGATGATAATTATAAGAAGATTTGTGGTAATTTTTGTCGTAAATGTTGCTGTTGTTGTTTAGCCAATAAAGTTAATTATACGTTTAGTTCTATAGAACTAGTCAGTTGGCGATTAACCCGATACACAGGTCTTAAAATAGGATCTTTTAATCGATTTTATTGTCATCGAAGATTACAGGTTACTTGAATGATCGTTAACTTACACGCATAGTGGATTACTAGTTTTTTGACATGAAGCATTTTGCTCATTTCAATTAGCGCTCAAAATTCTATTAGTATTTTGTCTGTTCAGAATTATTTTGAAATAAACCTTAACAATTTTCCCGAATATTTTTTAATCTATTAGTTGATTAAGATTTAGAAGAATTTGGGAAAAATTTACGAAAACTAATTAATATTAATCGACAAATAAAGGACGGGAACGAATAAGGTCAGAAATCGACCCACTCTCTTTTTCAAGTAAAAGTATTGGAGTCGCAAAGCTCTGTGACCTTAGGGGACGGAACTACAGAGGTTTGTCGAAAAACGAGCATTTTTGAGTTTTTTACTCTCGCTCAGTATTTTGATTTTGTTGATGGTTTTGTTTTGATGGATAACATACAGAAAAGACAACTATGGCCAGCACAAAAGCTAGCCAAACTCGTATTCCTTTCCTGTTACACCCTACGAAAGGAAAAGTAGAGGCAGCATCAGAGATGCTGACCGTAGCCACTACTTTCTACAACACGCGAAGAATGAATTACGTTAGAGTAAGATGAATAAAGTTCGTTAGAGTAAGTATTCGTAATCGTGGCAGCAAAATGTTTCGTTATTTGTAAACCCCTATTTACTCAGCCTTTTTCAAGAGATAAGACGAAATTTTAGATTCGGCATACAGGACACCGTTCGCTATTCAACCATGTAAAGAAGTTTGAAAGACAATTAATTTGGCTTTCTTACCGTGCCAGAAAGAAGCGACATTTCAGATTCTTTTGCGTTTGTGCATGTTCTCAAATATGGCAATTTAGCTATTTTTTGTTCCTAATTATGGCAACGCCATTTAAATAGATGGTGTTTTGATTTATAGTTAGAAAAAAAGTTACACTGCTATCTGAAGTATAAAAGCGAGACATATCTTTGAAATAAAATATGTTCAGAAGACTCAGGTCTATAACTGGTCTTAAAACCAGAAGTTAAAGGTTTAAATTCTTTTCTGTAACGCTTCTGTATGTCCCTGATATTAGGAAACTGTTTCAGCTTTTCGTCAGGTTTCGTTCCCAAGTTATCGAATTTTTGAGTTTTCCACAGATTCATGGTTTAGCACGCTAACGATAAAAGGACTATAAATCGTGAAAATTTCATCTGAACTTTTAAAAATTTCGGAGTTAATATAGTTTCAGCCGGCACATATGATGGGTTTAGCACAAATGTACAATTTTACTAAAGAATGAATCTGTGGAAAAATCAAAAATTCGATAACTCGGAAACGAAACGTGACGAAAGGCTGAAACAGTTTCCGAATATCAAGGACATACAGAAGCGCTAATTACCATTTAATTCCAAAATGCGTATCTTAAGACGAATTTTAACCCGTTACCCGTCCTTGGTCACTGGAGTGACCATTTTTGTAGACTGATTGCAAAAAATTAAGGAAACATGGAATTCAAAAACTTTAAAAACAGTTTCTGTAGTAGACTTCGTGAACTATCTATAGGTAAAAAAGATATTTCGTTTCATCACTTCATCTCCGAAATATGAATTTTTAAAAAGTCGATAATTTTGGAGAAATAGAAAAGATCGAATTTTTGAAAACAAATTTTTCTCTACCTACAGGCAATAGAGATTTCGGAGGTTTGCTATGTACTTTATATAGACAAAAATGTCTACTTGTTAATTGGCCGCGTTCCGAAAGTTTCACGATAACTTGGCGAATAAGAGACAGTAAGGCACAAGATGGACCACCATTGAGGGGGCGAAAGGGAATGGCGAACATCGTGAATATGTTCTTTGTAAACCTTTTCATATGAGAAAATAAAATAATATTTACCATGGATTTAATGTCTTCCATGGTTATTTTATTACTTAAAAAAAAACGAGTGTTTTTCTTTAAATATGTGTCAAAAATGCATGTTGTTTTAAAATAGTTTTCATGTGTTAAGCCCTTCTTTTTCATATGAGTCGAATAAAATGGAATATATTTCGCTTTTGTCCACTCAACACCGTCATAAAAAAGAAAAACAGTAGAATTTTTCAAGTCGTTCCACCTGCCTCCTTTCGGCAGCATTTCAAAATTCTTGTCGTTCCCTCTGCCGTTCTGCCTCTGTGCCGCAGAGCAACGAATTTATTTTAATGATCTTTCGATATATTATCGGTTTCTTTTAATGTATGTATACGAATACATGAAAGTTATTTTGATACAAAAATTTATTGACTTCTCTTTACGACTTTTCGATTAAAGAATAAAGCAAGAAACGAATAAATTTTATATATTCAAGGAGGAGAGAGCATTCACTGTAAATTTCTTTCGCGTTGTACCAACTTCGCGAACTAATATTACATTAATTATAGAAGACCCATTCCCACTTTTTAATACTAGTTAAAGTGCACGAGTTGCACATGATAGTGATCTATTTTTTACAAAACGATTCCTTTTACTTTTCGATACATATGGCTGTAAATATCGCTGATTATCGTTGAAAAATGCAAGTTTTTGCAATGAAAAGACAAATGGGAATAATGTTTCGAAATATACTTTAGTAGAAACACAACAACTATTTAGACATACATAAAAGTCTAACTTCGACGTTATTCATGTTTAACAGTGTAAAAGTAGTATAATAAAATGAGCTAAAGCATGTGCAAATACGTGATGCTCAGTTGTAATAACACTAAGACTGACTTTTTTTCTCACATATATACGTCAAGATCGCT